TATATATCTGCACACACATATATATGTCTAAGCAACAATTACAACCAAATGCCTGGGACTATTGGAACAACCAGAACAATGATGTGCACTGACCATAAGGGGCAGACATTCAATGCAGGAGCTGTACACTGGTGTTCAGTGCGATCCCACAGCCAAACTCCCAGGGTCCCTCCCCCCAGCCAGCTGGCACCACAATAGGCCTCGATTGCTGGCCAGGCCGAGGGACCCCACCCATGCACAAATTCGTGCACCAGGCCTCTAGTGAAGAAAATAAAGCAAAGCTAAGGAGTGAGTGACTGAAAGGAGACTGCGACATGAGTTCAGGAAAGACCTCTCAGTGACATGTCCATAATAACCTGTCACTAAACATTGGCTAGTGGCTTGACTGATAAATATTTAAATGAAATGAAGTTGTGGATGTGTTTGCATTATTTTTTGTCTCCTGCAAAGGTTCATGGTTACCCATCTATATATTAAACCATCACCACCAAGAGATAGAATGTTTTATGTACTGCCTTACACTTGATAGGAGGAACAGGGCTCTGGTTCCTTGACATGCAAGAGCTCTGTGGTGACTAGATTCTTCTCTGCTGGCTAGTGGTGCAATAGATAAGAAGATTTGGCTCTGTCCTTTAAGAATTGTTACTTAACCGCTTGGGGCCTTTGATTCTTCCTCTTCAAGCAAGATTCCGGTTAGGGTTAGGGTTAGGGTTCCACTTTACCCTGTTTTATAGCTAGTTTGGGTACTGGAGAAGATGTAGTACCTTGACTATCTATAAACTAATAGGCTGTGGCATGACTTCTGCCTATGCTTCTGTTTTCCACAGTGAATTGCCAATCCTGTGAGGTTTTAGTTCCAGTGAATTTCCCCCCCCCCCCAAAAAAAAAAAAAAAAAAACTAAACAGGTTGATAATGAACCACTTTCTCGCATTTTCCATCAAGACAGCTCTTTGTGAGTTCTAAATGTTCTGTCCAGATTCAAAGAAGCTGGTTTCTTCGTGAGTGGTTGGAATAAGACTTTTCTTGGAAGCTACTGAATATGGATTAGTTTGGATTGTTTCGCCGAAAATGAAAAGCAGGCTCTGGAGTGACTACTTCAGCACTTAATTGGGTTAGCAAAAAAAAACTGCAAATGAGAGGTTTTCCTTATGAAGGAAAGGATGTTTACACCCCCCACCCCACCCCAACCCCCCTAGGTGGTGGATTTAAACCTAAACGCTAGTCTTTAAATGCAGCCTTTAATTTAGGAACCATTACAAGAATCTATTAGAGCAGAAAATGTCAGGTTAAAAAATTAACACATCACAGGAGTTAATTAGAACCCGGCCTCTCATTAGATGCAAATAGAGAGCCCTCCAACTGCCCCCCAAGTCATGTTTGTTGCACCTCCAGGGTGTGTTGCATGTGTCCTAAGAGAGTGGACAGGGGGAGCTGCCCAGGCACTCGGGCCAGAGCCACTAAGGGACCATGGCCTGCCCTTCACCGTGAGGCTAATAGAAGGTCCTGTTCATGTGTCCCTGTCTTCTGCTCCTAAATGCTTTGCATGTCACAGGGTGGATAGCCCTCAGCTTGGAAGTGTTTTCTGCAACAAAGACAAACATGCCATGCCTGTCACCAGGAGCAGACTGGCGACTGTGTAAACCACTCTGCGAGAGGGAGGCTGAGGGGCTCCAGGCCATTCAGACTTAGCTCTAAGTTGTGGTCTTTGTTTTCTTTCCACATTCAGACTGAAATGTGACTCCCCTGGCTTTCTTTTTTTTTGGAAAATACCTGCGATGAGTTCCATGCAGGGAAAGAAAAGCTGTTGACAGGAAAAGCTTCTGACAGGGAATGGCCTTCTTCTTCCGAGTGTTCTGAAAGGAGACAGTTGCTTCAAGCAAGATGAGGCAGGGAGGCCAGGGCCAGGTACAAGAGGCCCCAGAACATAAAAGGGTCACCTTTAACTATAGCGATGACTGAGTGTCCACAGTGTCCTCGGTGAGAGCAGCACCATGCACTGCACCCAGACCTGGGCCAGGTGGACATGCATCTGAGCCCTTTTCTGTCACTTATTGTGTAGTCTTGGGCAAATTGCTTAACCGCCCAGAACATGCGTTTTCTCAAGCTGTTGTGCAAAATAAAAGAGATAATATGCATGTAAAGCACTTAACCCTTAATCTGGTGTAAGTTCAATAGGAATTATTTGTTATTGATCTGTTAACAGTACTAATTCACCCAGCACTTAACGATGTTCCCTCTAGGTGCCAGGCCCCGGGCAAGGGACAGCACCTGCTCCTTGTCTTCATGGAGGTCACTGTTTAAAAAACCATGTTCACATATCTTCAGCGCAAAGCAAACCCTGCTGTCCTCCCTGCAAGTGCCCTAGGAGAAGTGCCGTTGCTCACTAGCGCTGCTCTCTGAGTAGCTCAGAATCCCTGCAATAGTCTCCCTTTGAGCAGCCCTCCTAACGTAGCTACCTCTACTTTGGATTCACCTAAAGTTCTCCCTGTGCTTTTACCGCATTGAGTTACAGTTGCCTGTTTATGCTTTGTCTCCTGTGAGGCCTAGAGGGTGGGGATCATCTATTGACTTGATGCATACACCTAATGATTTATTCATCTATGTAGGCCAATGGTCTCATGTGTTACTCAGCACAGACATACAGAAGCTTTAACCCTACTGCCGAGTCTGTCGATCTCCAGCTGGGAAATTTTCTGGAGAAACGACTCTGTTCCCCACCTCGGAAAGGCCACTTTTGAGCCCTGGTTTGACTGATCTTTCATTTTCTATCACTTTGGTTCTAGCCTCAGTTTCTTCATCTCTTTCCCAGGCTAGTGGAGTCTCCTTCCCCAAGAGATGATGATGATGATGATGATGATGATGATGATGATGATGATGATGGCTGGAGACAGTGCAGCTTCTATGTATATAACACAGTTCTGGTACAGAGCCAAACGCACAAAAAAGTTGATTCCAGTATTTCCTTCAGCCAAGGAAATAGTTGCCAATGTAAGAAAAGAAAACTAAAACTACAAAACAGAATATGAGCACTAGTGGCACAGACATCCTTCCAACTTATATCCAGCCTCCGCCATATGCCAGACTTAGCTGATGTGGGAGGGTACAAGCACCCACAAAAACATGGTCCCTGTCACCAACCCCTGGAAAACAGTGGCATGTGTTGGACAGAAGATCTCAGAAAAAGAGAAGAAAGCTCTTCACCCAGATCCTCAGACCTGGGCAGCTGGAGGTGACTTTGGCACAGTGCCGGGAAGCTAGAGGCCGCCCCACATCAATAACTAAGATGTTCGGCACTTGCCAGACACTGTGCCAGACACTGAGCTAAGTGACTTACAGGTATTTCCCTCATTTAACTCCTAGAACAACTGTGTGATGCAGACATGAGCTTACTCATTTCACGGATGGCCAGATAGAGGCTGAGACTCACAGTACCTTGACCAGAGTAAAGCAACAAGTACATAGCTTAGGAATCCACCTGCTGAGGGTTCCCTTGGCCCACTTGAAAACCTGAGAGGGGGAGCTAGCCCACAGCTCTGGGGAAGAGGAGGGGTGCAGGTCGGGGAGGGCTGAGAATAAGAGAGGGGTTAAGGTGGATTGAAACCAGGTCGCATGGTCCCCAAATCCCCAGGACCCTAGGCAGAAGCAGAATAAGTTAGAAAGAGATACAGGCTGCAGGGAAGGATGCCTGGGACCCAGGCAGAGGGGAGCTCCTGTAGCTGGGCGCTTTCTAGCCCATTTCCCCCTCCCTTTCTTCTCTAGAGCAGGTCCAGCCTCTGCCCTCCCGCCCTCTCTCCCTCCCAACCTTATTTAGAAACCGTGTCCCCGAGACAGGAAGGGCGGCGGGCCGAGAAGCACGGAGCTTCCCGGCTTCATTTCCTCTCGAATCCCCCTGTGGAATTTCATTCCATGCGGCGAGGAAATCAGAGCGCGAGACCCTCGGCCGCCCGGCTGCTCCGCTCCGGGGCGCCTCCCCCACCGGCGGCGGGAGGCAGGGCTCCCGGGCGGGCGGGCGGGCGCAGGTCGGCGGAGCCTGGGGGCGGGGAGCGGGGGCCGGGCTCCCACCCGAGCAAGACGGGAGTGGACGGAGCTGCGGGGCGCGGGCTGTACCAGGCACCGAGCTAAGCGCTTTTTACGCCTTATACCGCTCATCCTCCCACGTCTCTGTAAGGACGGGGAGAACGGCGGGCGCCGAGAGGTTGTGCAATTTGCTCAAGGTCACACAGCCGGGATTTTAAAGCCGCACATCTTCGCAAATCCCAGTCCCGGGCTCTTTGTACGGGTTTCTCTGCCTGACGTGGGGGAGGTGGCCGTGGACCGAGGTGACCGCTGGAAAAGGAAAGGGAAGGAAAGGGAAGCCCATCCATTCTGGGAGCACTTCTCACCTGGGAGAGGAGGGAGGGGGCCGGCTGTCCCCGCCGGAGGGACTCCACTCCATCCCTGCCCAGCCCCTGAACCCGGCGGAGCGGGTGGGAGGAAAGTGAGAGCCGGGAAGCGGGGCGGGGCGCTCCGGGGAGGGAAGAGGGGGGGGAGCGGGGAGGGCGGCGGGCGGGCGGGGCCTGGCCCTCCAGCGGCGGACTGGCCCCGCCCCCCGCTGCCCACAGTGCCCGCCCATTGGACGCGCGTGCTGTCCGTCCAGCCCCGCCACCGCCCAGCGAACTTGTAGCGCCCGGGAGGGTTCGGGAGGTGAGAGCGGCGCGGCGCTGGGCGCTGGCGGGCTTCGCAGAGACCCCCGAGCCGACGCGGCCGGGCGCTGGGTCCGAGGCTCGCCGCCTGCAGCCATGACCCGAGCAGCCCGTCTCTCGGCCTCGCCCCGGGGAGCCTAACACCCCGCACAGTTGCGCGCAGCTGCTGGAGAGCCGACCGCTGCTGCACCCTCGTCGCTCTTGGTTGGCGCCTGATCACACTCCCTAGTCCCGGAGCTGGGAGCAGCGCGACCCCTCGTGCAAACTGGGGGTGTCTGCTGGAGCAGCCCCCGCCGCCGCTGCCCCCGGCTCTGGCCATGGCCTGGCGGGGCGCAGGGCCGAGCGTCCCTGGGGCGCCCGGGGCCGTCGGGCTCCGTCTGCGGCTGCTGCTGGGGCTGCTGCTGCTCTCGGGGCCGGCTCGGGGCTTCGGGGACGAGGAGGAGCGGCGCTGCGACCCCATCCGCATCTCCATGTGCCAGAACCTGGGCTACAACGTGACCAAGATGCCCAATCTGGTGGGGCACGAGCTGCAGACGGACGCCGAGCTGCAGCTGACAACTTTCACGCCGCTCATCCAGTACGGCTGCTCCAGCCAGCTGCAGGTGGGCGCCCCCACCCCATCCCCCCCACTCCTCACTCCCCCACCCCTGGCTAAACCCTTGGGCTGGGACGCCCCACACTAATTCGGTGGAAACCTTACTAAGTCGAGCCCCCCCCTTCTCCTCCCCACCGCCTGCCCGCTTTCTAGGCTGAAGGGTATAATCCTGAAAAAGTGATTTCCATCCCCACCCCCACTTGCCTGTCCCTTCTCAGGGACTGGAAGCCAAAACGTTGTGTAAGTCATCTGGCCCGCGAGAGAACCCACTCGTACACCCCGCCCTTCCGTTTTTCTCCCCTGCCCACCGTGTCTGGCCAAGCCCCTAACCCCAGTGGAGCTGAGGGTTATCTCTGCCAAGGATTCTGGCCGCCGCTGCTCAGTGGGCGAGTCCCCGGCGGGGCAGCCAGCTGCAGCTGAGACTTGGAAGCAGAGATAAGGCAGGAGCTGGGAACTTCTCCCTCACCGACCTCGTTTCTCCCCCATATTTCTGGGTGGTTTGCTAAAGGAAACACCACTGCCCCGTTTTCTCAGGAGTGGCCCCGAATCGTGGAGCCCGCCTGACTTTAGAGGTCATGCAGAAAGGAATGGTTGCATTGGCTGGAGTTTATTCTTAACCTCAGGGTGGAGGGCAGGTTTAGTACTTGGAGGGGGAGAAAACACAGCTTGGGGGAAAAGGTAGTCTGTCTGTACGTTGGAAGAAGGTAGTTCGCATATTGGGAGATTATTGTTGTTTGCAGTCATGACAACTTTTTTAAGCTTATGTAATGATACAAAACGTGTTCATCCTACAGTTATAAGTGAAGAAAGAATTTGCCTGTACAAGGTGATTACGGTCTTACAAAAACAACACCCTATTCATTGGAAAAGAAAAGCGATTGAAAGGACATTTTTAAAAAGTGCTAACACTTGTGTTTTGTTTGATGAGGCTATGAGTGATTTTTTTAAATTTTATTTTCTTTAATTTTAGAAAAGAGTGAGATTGGTGAAAATAGGGGATCATTGTCCAGGCTAAAAGCTTTTGAAATCAGTGGTCCTGGTCATATCTTCTTAGAGATAAGAAACAAGCAGGCAGCTTACTGACTAGGTGCGTGTTTTTATATGGGTCATTTTAAAAGTTAAGATTGTGGTTTCAGAAAGATGGCTGGGATTAGACCCGTTGCTGGTGAAGTGTCCCTCTGGAACTTCCAGACCTTCAGAACTAGGTTATAAAAGCTTAAGAAATGATCCTCTAGCTCTCGGTTTGGAAACAGTGCATATCCTGACATCAGTGGCAATTTTTTTTTGTTGTTGGAGAAACAGCTTTTCCAGGGATATATATTTTTAATTGCTTGTATCCTGGGGAGGCAGCCAAGCTGTTTTGAAGGACAGGACTGGATCCCTTTACATGCTGGAAAATAGTTACTTGTAACTCTAGACTTCGTAGACAACATCTGTAAGGAGCCAAGCAGACTGTTTATCAATGCTGGAGGAATTGAGGACAGCAACTGCACTCTCCCCTGCTGGTCCTGCAGTGTCAGGGACTTAACATTTATATTTTCCTATTGTGCTTCATTATTATTCAAAGTGGAAACCTGGCCAAATGAACCCCTGGTGACCAGAGGCCTCAACATGCATCCCCTCCGGCTTCTCATCACTGGATCTAACAGTATCTCAATTAGGATACTTTCTGTTTCAATATGAACAATAATTTTAAGGGATAAAGTACAGAAAAGAGAGAATATTAACAGAAGAGGTGGGTCTGCTTTTTTTTTTTTTTTTTTTTTTTTTTTTTTTTTTGCCTTTATTTTTATGGTGATAAAGGAATGGGGCCCTAACCGTTTTTGGCTCAGTGGATAGAGCGTCAACCTGCGGACTCAAGGGTCCCAGGTTTGATTCAGGTCAAGGGCATGTACCTTGGTTGCGGGCACATACGCAGTAGGGAGTATATAAAGAGGCAGCTGATCAATGTTTTTTTTCTCATCAATGTTTCTAACTCTCTATCCCTCTCCCTTCCTCTCTCTAAAAAAAAAAAAAATCAATAAAATATTAACAACAACAACAAAAAAAAAAAAAAAAGAAAGAAAATAAAGAAAGAAATGGGGATGAAAAATAAGTCACCCAGCCCTAGCTGGTTTGGCTCAGTGGATAGAGCATTGGCCTGTGGACTGAAGGGTCCTGGGTTCGATTCCTATCAAGGGTACATGCCTGGGTTGTGGGCTCGATCCCCAGTGTGGGCATACAGAAGGCAGCCTACCAACGATTCTCAATCATCATTGATGTTTCTATCTCTCCCTCTCCTTCCTCGCTGAAATCAATAAAAATATATTTTTTTAAAAAGAAGAGAAAAATATATCACCCGTCACCAAAATGACTATGATTTAATTAGTCTGTTCAGCTCTTTCAAATAGTAGCTGAGAAGGGAGGGAGAACTCCCAAGTTAGTCTTTTAAGGCTTATTAAGCATTGTACAAAAGGGGATTATATAATTCTTTGGGTCCTTTTTATACATTTGTTTACTTATGTTCCCCTGGAAAGGATTACCAGACCCCAACGAAGAAAAGTGTGTAGGGGATTACTAGGCATCCCTGTTTGGGGTCCGCATGAGTGGTCAGACTCCCTATAGGCAGGTTTAGAAGTAGTTGTGTGCTATGCCTGGAAGCATTCACAACTCTGCTTTGTGCAAGCGTTTGGTCATACTCCCAAGTCACTGTTTTCTTTGCTTGTGCCATTACTTTTCCAGTTCTTCCTTTGTTCCGTGTACGTGCCAATGTGCACAGAGAAGATCAACATCCCCATCGGCCCGTGCGGCGGCATGTGCCTTTCTGTCAAGAGACGCTGTGAACCTGTCCTGAAGGAATTCGGGTTCGCCTGGCCCGAGAGCCTGAACTGCAGCAAGTTCCCGCCCCAGAATGACCACAACCACATGTGCATGGAGGGGCCAGGAGACGAGGAGGTGCCGTTACCCCACAAAAACTCCATCCAGCCCGGGGAAGAGTGCCATTCCGTGGGAACCAACTCCGATCAGTACATCTGGGTGAAAAGGAGCCTGAACTGCGTCCTCAAGTGTGGCTACGATGCCGGCCTGTACAGCCGCTCGGCCAAGGAGTTCACCGACGTCTGGATGGCTGTATGGGCCAGCCTGTGCTTCATCTCCACCGCCTTCACCGTGCTGACCTTCCTCATCGACTCCTCCAGGTTTTCCTACCCGGAGCGCCCCATCATATTTCTCAGTATGTGCTATAATATTTATAGCATTGCTTATATTGTCAGGCTGACGGTGGGCCGGGAGAGGATATCCTGCGATTTTGAAGAGGCAGCAGAACCCGTTCTCATCCAAGAAGGACTTAAGAACACAGGATGTGCAATCATTTTCTTGCTGATGTACTTTTTCGGAATGGCCAGCTCCATCTGGTGGGTCATCCTGACGCTCACCTGGTTTTTGGCAGCCGGACTCAAATGGGGTCACGAAGCCATTGAGATGCACAGCTCCTATTTCCACATCGCAGCCTGGGCCATCCCCGCAGTGAAGACGATCGTCATCTTGATCATGAGGCTGGTGGATGCGGATGAACTCACGGGCCTGTGCTACGTGGGGAACCAAAACCTCGATGCCCTCACCGGCTTCGTGGTGGCCCCCCTGTTCACTTACCTGGTGATCGGAACTCTGTTCATCGCGGCAGGCCTGGTGGCCTTGTTCAAAATCCGGTCGAACCTTCAGAAGGACGGGACAAAGACGGACAAGTTGGAAAGGCTGATGGTCAAGATCGGGGTCTTCTCGGTCCTGTACACGGTTCCCGCCACCTGCGTGATCGCCTGTTATTTCTATGAAATCTCCAACTGGGCGATTTTCCGCTATTCCGCAGACGACTCCAATATGGCCGTCGAAATGTTGAAAATCTTTATGTCTCTGCTGGTGGGCATCACCTCCGGCATGTGGATTTGGTCTGCCAAAACGCTTCACACCTGGCAGAAGTGTTCCAACAGATTGGTGAATTCTGGGAAGGTAAAGAGAGAAAAAAGAGTGAATGGTTGGGTAAAGCCTGGGAAAGGCAATGAAACGGTGGTGTGAAGCAAGCCAGCCTCCATGCTTCCCAAATTTTGACGGGGAGGGGGGACATGCCAGCATTTCGACGCAAATGCCACTAAACGTTTCATGCAATGAATCTCAGTTTGAACAAACCAGCTACCCTAAGGGGACCCCCTTCCCCCACTCCCTTCTCCCTCTCACTCCAGCATCCTAAAACGAATGATTTTGCTGCAGACTTTGGAATAATCCGAAACGGAAAAGCCAGTCAGAGGCTTTCAAAGCTGTGAAAAATCATAACATTGATCACTTTAGCAGGTCGCAGCTTGGAGGGTGGAGGTCCTTGCCTAGATCCCAGCGATGCTGCTGTTCCCTGAGGGGTGGGATGTGAGCTGTGAGTAAGGTAACTTGCAGGGAGAATGATTAATTTTTTTTTTAACTCTTTAAAATTTAAAATACTAACTGGGTCTTTCAGATAGCAAAGCAATCTATAAACACTGGAAATGCCGGGTTCAGAGACGTGTCACACAAGTTTTATAGTTTGGCTGATCTAACATAAACATTTTCGGTGGTGCATTGTCTGCTGTTTAGAACTTGAGGATTGCTCTCCCAAGAGGTGGTGTCAGAATCTTTCAGTGCCTTTGTCATAAAAAAGAATTGTTTGGACAAACAAAAGTACTGTACAAACACACATAAGGTATCTCCCGGATTTTTCTTCTCTCCCTTCTTCTTAAATTTCAACATGTCTGTTCGAGGCTGCTGCTGGGGTTTTTTTTGTTTGTTTTTTTCATCTTACATTAATAACTCAAAATAGGCATTTTTATAGGAACTTTTGCACTGCAGCGTGCCTAATGAGGGGGGGAGGAAGGGTGATTCACTTTCTGACAATCACTTGATTCAGAGGAAAATGAGATTTACCAAGTCCACTTACCTTACCGACCCCAGAGACCTGTTGCATTGAGCAACGGGGACTTAATATATTTTACTTTGTGTGATTGCATCTGTGCAGACGCCAGTCTGGAAGAGCTAAAATGTTAAGTTTCTTGGCAACTTTGCATTCACACAGATTAACTGTGTAATTTGTGTGTGTGTGTGTGTGTGTGTGTGTGTGTGTGTGTGTGTCAATTACAATTAAAAGCACATTCTTGGACCATGACATAATAAGTATACTGAACTGACTTTCAAACTGTGGTCAACTTGCATTCTCGGAATGATAGTGCCTTTTTTTTTTTTTTTTTCCTTTTAGCATAAGAATGTTATCGGAAAAGTCTGGTCTACCTGCCACAATGGGGACTTTCTCAGCGTTGTAGAGGGGACTAAGGACAGCTAATCCAACTACTTGGTGTATAATTGTTTCCCAGTAATTGGCAAAGGCTCCTTATAAGATTTCATTGGAGGCAGTGTGGCCTGGAGTATTTATTTGGTGCCTAATGAATCTCCAGAATGCCAGCCAGCAGCCGATTGGCTTGTAGGGAATAAAGTGTAGACCATATGAAATGAACTGCAAACTCTAACAGCACAGGTCTTAATTGCCTTTTGCGGAGGTATCCAGAGCTTTTAAAATTTATGCTTTATGTTCCTTACAAGGGGGTACCCCCTAGCAGCCTCGCCAAAGTTGCAGTTCTTTTAAAATTGTAACTGGCCTTTCTCTTAACCCGCCTTAGGCCTTCTAATCGCCAGATCTCTGGGACAAATTGTTGACACTGTCGCAGGTTGTTCTCCTTGTAACTCTTACCTGTCTGCTTCAGCGACTACTTTGCAATGGCTCCTTTATTTATTTATTCATGCCCCACTTTAAAAAAAAAAAAAAAAAAACAGGTAGTAAAGCTCTTTTATCACTTCTTGTTTAATGGAAAAACATCCCCAGGGACTCAGAATTCCAAATAGGTAGGCAAATTCTGGAAATAAGCATGGCTTTTTGTTTGTTTGAGCATTATGCTCATGGTTTGACATTTTCCTCTGCTTTTGTGTCATTCTTGGGCAGTCTGAGATGAAGATTCATCTAAGGCCTTGTTGCAGGTTCTGGAAGAGAAAGTCTTGGTGTTTTGGAGATAGTCACTAAGTAGGCACGGGGAGGGGGGAGGGGCTGCTGGGAGTGAGCACCTTGGCTGGCCTCCGGGGTCAGGGCTCCAGGAGCATGAGAAAGGGTCCTTGGAAGGACCGGTTGAACTCCATCGGAGACTGCATTGCTTATGAAATGTACAAGTGAACTCCCTGCCTGCTTGCAGACAGTTCCCATAGCTGGCCAGGGCCCTGGAGCTTGCACCCAGGGGCAGAGCCTGCCCTTACTCACGCTCTGCTCTGGTGTCTTGGGAGTTGTTCGGAGCCTCTGGCCCAGGCAAGGGAAGGACTGTGCAGCCCGGCACTGGCCTTGCTGTCAGCATGCTGGGGCCTGTAATGCAATGTTCTTTGTAATGTTTTGGCGAATGTGTGACCAAGGCAGCACCTGGCAGAGGGCACAGAGTAGGTGCTCAATGTTTGGGAATGATGCAGAAATAATGATGACAATAAGAGTCCTTGAGTGAACCTGGGCTCTGAGTTCTGTGCCTTGACAACTTGTCTCTCTAGCAAAGCTCTCGCCCCCGGGGGGGCAGAGTACTTGATCAGAAGTGGCTGTGGATGCAGGCTGGATTACCGGCCTTGGCAGTGTTACCAGGTGATGGGCCTCTCCTTTCACACTCCGGGCCATGGAGAGAGTTCATGGTTTCAGGAAAGGAGCTTGTGACTAAGGAGTCAATTACCAATTACCTTAAAGTGGTCCCATCACCTCTTACATTGGTTTTGTCTAAAAAAAAAAAAAAAAAAAAAAAAAAAAAAGCAAACAAAAAAAGGTCAATTATTAGCACATTGCTTGAGCACCAACTTTGTGTAAGCCCTGTGATAGGCATGGAGGGTAAGCTCTGTTCTCACTGACCTAGACGGTGATGGTTCTAGGGCTGCTGAACTTCGACATTGGTTTTTGGGAAGGTGTGGGTGTGTTTGAATGGCCATCTCTTTCACTCTCTTCATCCCCTAAACCTCCTCTTGGGTCTTTCTATCGTTGATGCATCTCTGATCCCTCCCCAGAATTCCCTGCAAATCAATGACGGGGCTCTGACAGGAAGCAACCGCTGTGTCATGACGTGTTCGGGAAATCCCTGGGAACACTATGAAATCGGCTGTGAGCACGTGAGCTCCCACATCTACTGTGGCTTTGGGGGCAGGCAGTTCAGGGCTTGGGGTGTTCCATGCAGCTTGCACAAGGAAATTTGCGGACAATCATGCTAGGAAAAAGGTTAGGGTTGTTGTTTTCTCAGAAATCTGAAGTCTAGAATACATAGGTATATTTGTAGCTTTTTACACATGCCTCGGCCTCCAGAGATTTTATCCAGCAGAGCCTAAGGGCACCTGTCCAGCCTCCTCTCTGACAGACTCCTTTATCCTCCCTCATTAAGGCCGTGTCTCAGGGCAGAGTGATGTGGGGTAGGGTGGAACTGGCCAGAACCATCTGGTTGCGCTACTTGGTTGATTCATATCCTTTTTCCTCTATTGGAGACCTGCTTCCTGCTCTCGAAGCTGCTTCTGAGCTGGCAGCTTGCTCAGGGGCCTGAAACCTGAGAAGGGGTGACTCTCTTCTCCTGAGATGCTCTCTGACTTTCCTCTCCGGGTCACTCCCTCACCTGCACCCCCAAACCCAGAGTGCAAGAAGCTTCTGTATCCAGTTCTGAGCTGTGGCTTTACCAGCACCCCCAGCCCTGTCCTCCCTGCCCACCCCCCATCCTCCCCACCCCCCACCCCCACCTCTTGGCCACTGAATTCAGTGCTCACTCTACTGGGCCAAAGGTTGAGAGGAGGAAGTCAGCCCCGGAGGGCACTCAGTGGAGAGGGATTTCACCAGGATGGGGCAATCTTTGGATTCTGGATTCTGGTGAGGTGACCTCAGCAGCAGGTAGGGAAGAAAGACAAAGAGCACAGACTCTTGAAACGCCCCCCCTCCCTCGCCGCCTCCCCCCCTCTCTTGAATCGATATACATCCTGAATTTCAATCTGTGATGGAGGAGATTGGAGAGAGTTGCCCTTTCAGCCAAGTATGTTGAGTCACTGGACTCTTTTATTGTATTTGGGTTCAGAGTCCCCGGCTGGGTTTGCTCCTTTATTGTATTTGGGTTCAGAGTCCCCGACTGGGTTTGTATCATGTCTGGCAAAGAACCCAGGTTATCGTTTTTCCTCTGGCCTAGTTCGCAGATCTTGGAAACGCCTAGGAGGGCATTTTGCTCCTACCTAGGATCAGATACCAGAGACTTAAATAATATATTTTGCTTCACTGTGGCCTGGCCAGAGCTACCCTCCACTTCCCTCCTCCCCAGCAGGCCTTTTCTAAGTCCCATTGCCCTTGAGTAGCTTGTTTCTGTTTCTGGTTTATCTGTTTCCCTCCTTCTTTGCACCAGCAAATTTTTCAGTCTTCACCCAGGTGATTGGTAGTGGACCTGTTTGCGGTCCCGTGTGAGCCCTTCCAGCTTTTGTAGCTCCCTGATCCCCTGTGACAGTCAGTACCTGACCACTGTCATCCCAGAGGCTTCTGAGAAGAGGGGCAAGAGCAAGAGCAGCCATGCCCAGTGATGGCTGGGCCCACCGGCTCTCCCAGGCGTCACCTTTCCTGCCCTGCCGGCGGGCTCCGTCCGGCCCCTCTCGGCGATGGGCTGTGGCCGGAGCAGGCTGCTTTGGGTCTCTCACCACGGGGCTGGTTCTGAATCTTGGTGGTTCTGAATTTTTTTCTACCTCACAGAGATGTAGGACTTTAAAAGGTCTGAGGATGAAGGCCCCTGGAGCCCATGGGAGGAAGGGTGGGATAAACACCAGCTGGAGCTGTGAAAAAATGAATGAGACTCAGCTTGCTCAGGCCACCGGGAAGCTCGTGCTCTGTGGCCCTTTCCCCAGAGCCCCGGGCCTCCCTGCAGCCCCAGCCACCTCGAGGCCAACCTGGAAGCTTTCAGATGTTCGACGTAGAGGTACCAGGCAAACCCGGCTACCCATGCCCTGAACGCATCGCTGACCATCGAAGGAAACGGACCCTGCTTTTAAGGATGTACAAATGTGTGTCTGCATTGATGTCTGTACTGTAAATTTCTAATTTATCGCTGTACAAAAAAAAAATAAACTTTGCTATTTAATTTTTGTATTAAAGGAAAATAAACTTTTGTTTATTACCTCGTGTGTGATCGGCATATTCCTGAATGTGTGCCATGATCTCTGGGAAGCACACACACCCAGCACTGAGAAACGGGGAATTCTGTTTGCAGGGCCGATGGAGAGCTTCTTTCTGAGAGCCTCTTTGTTTCTTTTCGCTGGGGCTGTGTTTCCCCTCTGGGGTTTCTCCTGGGTCAGCAAACCCCCAAGGTCCAAGGTCAATAGCATTTGTCACTACTGTGCTCCTCACAAATGCCCAGGTGGTCACATGATGCTTTGGACAGAACTATGGTTTTCAGGCTCTCATTGCATGGCACCTCCTCTTGGCACTTCCCCTGTGTGCGGAGGTTTTTACATACCTTTCAAGTCCCTTTGACTTAATCTGCTGGCCTGACAGTGATTCCCTATCACTGCTAGAGCTTCAGGCCTTTTAAAGCGGACTTTTTAAATTTTTTTTATTTTTGACTGCAGATTTTTATTTCTGGCTATACAATGGTCCTATTTTGTGTAACAGACATGGGAGTATGTGTGTCTCATCAGTCAGCCAGGAAAATGACGTTTTAAGCTAATTTTATAAGTTGGGTGGTCTGTGTCCCCATACTCAGAAAAACCATCAGACAAAGCAGATTCAAAGCCATTCTCAGGACATGGTTGTGGACCACACAGACGGAGGGGAAAAGGAGTTACTACCCTGGAGATGTCTGCTGATGTCCCAGAGGAGAATATTGACCCTCTTGGTTTGCCTTTAAAAAAAAAAATCTATCTATCTATATCTATATCTATCTATCTATCTATCTATCTATCTGTGTGTGTGTGTGTGTGTGTGTGTGTGTGTGTGTGTGTGTGTTATTGATTTTAGCTAGAGAGGGGAAGCAAGAGAAACATGGATCAGCTGCCTTTTGCAGGCCCTCTACTGGGGATCGAGCCTGCAACCTAGGCCTGGGCCCTGACTAGTAATGGAATGGTGACCTCTGAATGCATGGATGATGCTCAACCAACTGAGCCATACCAGCCAGGACCTCTTGGTTTGCCTTTTAATTGCTTTTTACCCATTGGTTTCACCTATGTACCACCCTGTCCTGGTGTGAGTAAAAAACCCAGGGCACAGGGATCTGCACTACTGTTCCCTGCAGATTGCTATTGTACTTTTATCTCAAAACATAAATGAAGGGAAGCATGTAATTTAAATTCTCTTCCCTGTAAAACTGGCCATGTTTCTCATTTTATTACCTACCCATGAAGTAGTTATGAAGTTAAGGAAAAGGCACAATCTGAAATGAATTCATAATCCCTTGCACTCGTAGAAATACTCTCCAAGTAGAAAATACTTTTTAAATTATTATTAATAAAATAAGGAAATTATGTTATTCTCATGGCATCTGTAAAGTAAGCAGAGCAGGAAGTGCTTTGCTTTAGAGAGAGGATAGAAGCTCTGAGAGTCCAAGGGAACCCCAACGGAGGTGGGAGGTTGGACACCAGGTCTTCTCAGGCCTTGCGCAGGGTTTCATTTTTGTTTTTCTTACAGTCCATTATGGGTTGAACTGTGTCCACCCAAAGACATGTTGAAGTCCTAACCACCATGCCTGTAAATGTGAACTTATTTTGAAACAGGGTCTTTACAGACAGACATCATCCATTTAAGACAAGCTTGTACTAGATTAGGGTAGGCCTTAATCCAAGAACTGACCATCTTTACAATAAGGGACATTTGGACATGTGCACAGAGGAGAAAACACAAGTGAAGGCAGAGGCCGAGATTAGAGTGGTGTAGCTGGCAGCCAGGCAAGAAACACCAAGGATTGCCGGCAACCTCCTGAAGCTAGAAGAGAGGCCTCCAATAGGAGCCGACCATAGCAGACCTCAGTTTCAGACTTCTGGGCCCCAGAACTGTGTGCTCTAGTCACACTGTTTGTTACTGCAGCCCTAGGAAACGAATACCTACTCTATTCCTCTGGTTTCTTTAATCATTGCACATAGTTCATTGGAAATGGGTAAGTGCTTTAGCAGGCCATGAGCTTCTGTTTTTAAGGTTTATGGAGCAAAATCACTCTGATACATTTCTTTATCTGAAAGCTGAGCACCTCTAGAATAAACCCCATGACCCCTGACACTCCACTGATTTGAGCTGGTCTCGGCTGTTCTCCTGCCCAGCCACCCCCAAGGGGAGCACTCTGCACACAGGGCCAAGACCTTGACTGGAATGTGACCCCAAGGGTTTTTAGCATTTCTGTTCTGAGAACTGATTTTTTTTTCCTCTTTCCCATTTTAGCTTTCACATGCAATCATAACTTTAAAGCTGAATTGACTCTTGACTAAAGAGGTCAGCTTGGCCTCCTGCCTTCCAAGGTTCTGTGAACAGAAATAAACCACACTCAGAGGAGGGTGTTGACCTAACGAGATGGTCCCAGCCCTACACTCCAGTAGGACAAGGATCGTCTGATTAAATGTTTTGAAAATGTTGGACCTGCAAAGGTTTAGTCCAAAAGGCTTTCAGAATAGACGCTGGCCCCACCTGAAATTCCTAGAAGCTCTCTGTCCTCATTTTTTATCTCATCTTCAGGCTAAGAAAACCCATGGATTCACCCTCCACACAGCAAAGAATTCCAACTTCTCAGCTCCCAGGGAGAGAGAATAAAAAAATAAAATGTACATTTCACATTCAATGCCTGATTTTCATCAGCTTTCCATTTCCCATAAGCACCCAAGAACCTGCTTAATCTCTTGGCTAGCCCATGTTATCAATGCCTTTCTCTTTAAGAGATTAAATGATTGGCTATCTAAGTTTTCTAAACTGCCTGAGGGTTACATCACTTTACTTGCTACAAGGTAAATGGGTAGAGTATAAAACAAGAGATGGAGTTGATAAGGCACATAGGAAATCTAGTTCCATTGTTTCCTATCATTCCCTAGCCTTTTTATGTGTTTCTCCTTGCCTGTAACCCCTTCCCTCTTTCTTCTATCAGGGTGTGTCTATTCTTCCTTCAAGAGTAAAATCTTAGGTCATCTTGTCTAAGATTTCCCTGACCCTCCCACTTGTCCTGTCCTGCCTCCCTTCCTTCTTGCCATTGGTAAGTGTACGCCTCTGGGTTTTCAACTCCGGGAGACTTCATTGCATGGTGTGTAATGGTCTAGCCCCCCACTACACTGAGCTCACCGAGGATCACTCTGAGCACACATGTTCTGTGTGCCCTCTGAACATGACTTTCAGGAATATCTGTGGAAGAAAGGAAGGAGGGTTGAGAGGGAGGAAGAGGAAGCTGAGGTGCTTTGGTGACAAATGTGTCCAGCACAGAAAAGAAGCCAAAGGTGACCACAAGAGCCTGTACAGAGGCGGGACTTTCTGGAAACATGATTAGACAAAAGCCTCAGAGAAAATTCTCTAACCTCCAAGATGGATCTCAGAATGATTACCTACCCATTGTGTTGCTTATTGTGAAGTTGTCTCTCTTCCAGCTTTTTTCTCCTCCTCCTCCTCCTCCCCAGCAAATATTTACTGGGAGCCTACTGTATGCAGACATCAGAACAGGCTGGGAAGGGAGAGAGGGATGATTGGGAAAAACCATGAAAGACAAGGTCCGACTCCGGGTCTAAAAGTGCAGATGACAAAACAGAGAAAGAATTCAGTTGTTATTAACAAGCTTAAAACTCCAAACCTGGAAAAACAAATCCTCTACTGCTTAGTAAATATTTGTTGAATAGCTGAATGAGGGTCCGTCCTGTGGCAGCCACTGTCCTCGGAGGGCACTGTAGGGGACCCCAAGATAAGTAAGACAGAACCCTTGCCTCCAGAAGTTCATGGCAGCAAACCACATGCCTCCCTTGTCCCTACCCCCTAAAGGATCAGCACTGCTGGTCTGATCATATTTACATCCAATTGCTTCCTAACCGAAGTTCCAGGGCCTTGTTGGTTTAGCGTGGACAGAACAGCTTCTGAGTGCTCAATGGGAAAACATTTCCTGGAGAGCTGTCATCTCACCATTTGATCCCTGGAAGGCCATGTCTGCCTCAATAGGTAAATGTGTGTATAGTGAGGGCATGGGGAAGAGGAAAAATGAAGAAGGGGTGGATCCCAGAGACCATGACTCCTTAAGACTTGGTCCACTTGCCCTAACTTGTTTGGCTCTATGGATAGAGCATAGGTCTGCGGACTCAAAGGTCCCAAGTTCGATTCCTGTCAAGGGCATGTACTTTAGTTGTAGGCACATCCCCAGTAGGGGGCATGCAGGAAGCAGCTGATTGATGCTTCTTACTCTCTCTCCCTCTCCTTTCCTCTCTGTAAAAAATCAATAAGATATGTTTTGTCTTGTTTTTTTAAGAAAAAGATGACTTGGCCCGCTCACCAAAACCACCCTCTGGATTCAACATGCAAAAAATAGAATTTCAAACAAAAAATAAAATTCAAACTTACTCCTCTTGGGCCATCGGAAGCATTTAATCAGGAGCATTTTTTCCAGCACACGTGCTGGTTTATATCACTTGCATCCAGTAGGTAGGTCTGTGCAGTATGTCTGCCCTGTATCCTTTGGGCCCAGTTCTCTTGCTTCTCTCCTGACACATTTCTGTGCATCCAGAGACCGTTCTACAGAAGTTCAACAGAGTGCATGGCCTCCTTGACCCAGAGTGAGAGAATAAATGTGTGATCCACTTGGCTGAGAACTGCCTGTGGGGAGTTGCAGGGCAGTGAATCGTTCACTGTAACTGGAGCCGGAGATCCTTGGAGTGGGAGAGCAGGTGGGCCGAGTTACGAAAGGCCTCGGAGGTTGTGCTCTCCCGCGCTGGGCACAGGGGAGGCAGCCCGAGTTTGAGGGCAAGGAAGGCTCACGTCCCTGTGGATGCCTTTCAGAGCTTGCTGGA